GTTAAACAAGTAACGAAATAATAAATAGGTTCTGCCTGGACTGCTCAGGGGCCATTTGCCTTTGCTCATTCTGCTTGCTCAGAGCTTTCTTAATATGCCTGCTCCCGTTGGCTCAGGGGGCCAGCATTAATTATTGCTGAAGCACTGCCCTGCTTGTAATCTGTGGCTTTAATGGAACAATAGGTCAGCACTCAACAAGCTGGGCTGTGCCAGTTAACAGGCCACACACACACACACACACACACACACACTTACGTCGAACCCCAGAGCCTTCAAGGCTTGGCATCCTGAGGTCTTAGGCAATAGAAGATGGTGTGTGTGTGTGTGTGTGTGTGTGTGTGTGTGTGCACAATATGATCACTGCATGGAACAGCATAGCCTGGCTGCTGAACTCCGACAGCTTGTGGGAAGAGGGCTTTGATGGATTTGGGAATGACTTTATTCTGCAAGGTTGAGGATGAGCCATAAAACCTTCCACCTTGCAGATTGCTACAGGCATTATCCCCCTCCTTAAAAAAAAGTTGCAGGCATTTCTTTATTGGTAATGTTCTTAAATGCATTAAAAAATACTCTTGCGAGGAAGCTTTCCATTGCAGTGAGCTGCACTCAGCAGCACCTCATGGTATGGGGGATCTTTTCTGATTTTATGCTTTACATTTTCTATGAAAAGCCCAAACAGCATTTACCTATGCCAGAGATCCTTGAGAGTCACAGCCAGTCAGAGTAGATCAGTCTTCCCCAACCTGCTACCCTCCAGTTCTCTTGGACTACAGCTGCCACCTTACCTGATGGTTGACCACAGTTGGAGGGTCTGATGTGAGTTGTACCGCCTCTCCTGGTATGTCCCACAGAGAAATCTACGGTCTGCAAATAAAAACATCCTAAAGATCCCAGGCCACAGAGAGGTTAGGCTGGCCTCAACTAGAGCCAGGGCCTTCTCGGCTGCGGCTCCAATCTGGTGGAACGCTCTGTCACAAGAGACTAGGCCCCTGCAGGACCTGACATCCTTCCGCAGGGCCTGCAAGACAGAGCTGTTCCACCAGGCCTTTGGTCAGGGCGCAGCCTGACCCCCTCCTCTGGCAATCGGCAATCTGCACAGAATTTTGCTTGATGGTTGCCATTAATTTGATTTTAATTTGATTTGATTAATTTTATAATGAATGTTTTTAGAATGTTGTTAGCCGCCCTGAGCCCAGCTTCGGCAGGGGAGGGCGGGATATAAATAAAATTTATTATTATTATTATTATTATTATTATTATTATTATAGCCCAACAATAAAAATCTGCAGGGTGCATGGAGTAGATAGACCAAAGGCAGCTTCCTAGGTCTAGTAGCCATTGATAGACAGCCTCCATGCAGTTGTATGCTCTTTTTGAAAGCTGGTGGCCATTGCCACGCCTTTTGGCACCTCCTTCCTCCAATTTGAATTTGAGAGCTCCCAGATATGCAGTGCGCACACAGATACAGTTCATGCACACACCCTCTCAAAACATGCTCTGATTTACTGAAATGGCATTATAAAATGACCACCATAACCTCTGGGAGGGGGGTGCGGAGATAACATTAGTCTTCCATGCAGAGAGATAAGCACATATTCTCAAACACTGTAAAGCTCATTGCAAATTTAAAGTTTTGCATCAATGCTTAGTAGTGGCTCCTGAGCCCCATTTCACCAAAGTGCTAGAATGCAGCAACATTGTCTGCTCTTAGCTCGTTTTGTTTTGGCTTTGGTCCAGTTCTCTAGGTGAGTCAGATCAAAAAGATGCTCTCATATAAGCCATCTCGTCTGTGTTGGCTGAGCAGCCTGGGGCAGGGATTGGGGAGGTGAGAATCAGGAAGGCAGTCAGTTATGTTCTGTAGAGATGACACATTCTGGAATAAAATACAGTCCCCTAAAATATGAGACATCTGTCAGCCCTACCTTCATCCATTAAAGGCCCTGTATCCCATTTAACAAGACCTTTGGGTGGTTGGTGCTTTCAGCCCATTAAATGTCGTCCTGTCCTGTAAAATTCTCCAGATGGAGCACCATTGAAATGATCCTAGTAGAAGTGAGACCAGTCAACATGCATGGATTTCAGTAGCTGGCTAGCATGTTGATAGGTGTGGGCTATCAGTTGGGACAGGGAAGGGAAATGTGCTTAAAAACAACAATGCCTGCCTGCTAATATCAGTTGCTGCTTTACATGATGCAAAACCATCCAATTACAGAGTGGTTGAGGCAGCACTGCTACATAGTGATGTAGCAAAAAGTGGATCAGGCTGGCAGAAGTAGAGAACTGCACAGTCCTCTGTGCAAACCTAAGTCCTGCTAGTTCCATTTGCACACGGTGCTTAGCCAAAGCATGGCTAAGCATGTATGAGTTAGCAGGCAAAAAATAATCAATTCTTTGCTCTTCCCCTGGCCAGCCTGCTGCTGTGCTGTCTGGATCTAAGCTGTGTGTTGAGCTAGCTTTATGTCTGAACCTGGCCTTGTGATTTCTCACTCCTGGACATGCTACAAGAGGTAACCTAAGGCCACATCCACACTATGAAGCAGTGCCATTCCTCTTTAAGCAGAAATAGCTTGCCCAAAAGAATCCTGGGATCTGTTGTAGTGTGTTAAAGTGCTGAGAGTTGTTAGGAGACCACTGTTTCTCTCACAGAGCTTTGTGAGGGGAATAGGAATCTCCTGAAGCAGGCAATAGGCAAACTCGGCCCTTCAGATGTTTTGGGACTACAACTCCCATCATCCCTGACCACTGGTCCTGTTAGCTAGGGATGGTGGGAGTTGTAGTCCCAAAACAACTGGAGGGTCAAGTTTGCCTATGCATGTCCTAAAGACTCCCTGCACCCTTAAAACAATGGCAGTTCCCAGGACTCTTTGGGGAAAGCCATGACTGTTACAGTGGCACCATAGTGCTTTAAATATACTATGTAGGTAATGCCCGAGAATAAACATTTTCTGCAGCTTGTGGTTTATACCTAACCATGCTTTGGCCTAGTGTTATGGGGGAGCCGGGCTACTATGTTCAGTGGGACTTATTCCATAGCAGGTGTCCTTTATATAGCAGTCCAAACAATTTGCATTATATGTGTGCCAGATATACACTACCGTATTTTTCGCTCCATAAGACGCACTTTTCCCCTCCTAAAAAGTAAGGGGAAATGTGTGTGCGTCTTATGGAGCGAATGCAGGGGGGAGGCAGGCAGGAAAAGCCCCCAAAAGCCGCACACAAGCTTCGCACAGCTCTTGCGGGCTTTTCCCCAGGAGGGAGAAGGGACTGACACGGCCATTCAATCCCTTCTCCCTCCTCGTAGAAAAGCCCGCAGGAGCCGTGCACTCCTTAAAGCAGCACTTCCCCCCACCGCCAGCCCCACAAGCTCGTGGAGCAGCGGGAAGGCTGCATGCATTTCCGCTGCTCCCCGACCTGCTCTTTGGGGCTGGCAGTGGGCTTCCCCCCGCCAGCCTCAAAGAGCAGGTCGAAAGGAACCCGACGCCTCCAGAGTGCAGCGGGAACTCCCGCCGTGCTCCGGAGGCTTCGGGTTGTCTTCACTGAAGCCTGGAGAGCGGGAGGGGTCATGTGCACCGACTCCTCTTGCTCTCCAGGCTTCCAACGCACCTTGAACGGCTGCTTTGCTGAAGGGGTGCTGGGCAGAGAGGGGGAGAATTTTCTCTCTCTTTTTCTCCCCCTCTAAAACAAGGTGCATTCTATGGTCGGGTGCGTCCTGTAGAGCGAAAAATATGGTATTTTACTCTCCCCTGGATCCCCCCCCCACATCTTGTGGCCCTACAATAAAGGCAAAGGTACCCCTGCCCATACGGGCCAGTCTTGACAGACTCTGGGGTTGTGCGCCCATCTCACTTAAGAGGCCAGGGGCCAGCGCTGTCCGGAGACACTTCCGGGTCATGTGGCCAGCGTGACAAAGCTGCATCTGGCGAGCCAGCGCAGCACACGGAAACACCGTTTACCTTCCCGCTGGTAAGCGGTCCCTATTTATCTACTTGCACCCAGAGGTGCTTTCGAACTGCTAGGTTGGCAGGCGCTGGGACCGAGCAACGGGAGCGCACCCCGCCGTGGGGATTTGAACCGCCGACCTTTCGATCGGCAAGCCCTAGGCACTGAGGCTTTTACCCACAGCGCCACCCACGTCCCTGGCCCTACAATACCCACCCCCTTAATCAGTGTTTAGCCTTGCTGAATCCTGTTTTGATTTTAAATATCTCAATGAGTCTAGAACCTGATGGGACTCCTGGGTTTTTTACAAGTTTCATACTAGCTGGGGAAACTTAAATTTGGGGAAACGGGATGGGAGAGCAAGGAGAGCATTTGCAAATACTTTTTTTGTCCAAGTTGTTATTTTCTGTTCTGTCAGTGGTGACAGGTGAGGTGGCTTTGCTAATTGAAGTGATAAAAGAAGTTGGGATGAGCCATGCAAGGAAATAATTATGAAGCGCTGGCATCATACTGAGATGCCCTTAACTTGCATGCTGATGGCTCTGACACTCTCCACTGCCACTGCCACCTCCCCGTGTCCCCGTATAAAGGCAACAGTTCCCCACATCAGAACGTAAGGGGCTTGCTGGATCAGGCCAAAGGCCCATTTAGTCCAGCATCCTGTTTTCACAGTGGCAACCCAGATGCCTTTGGGAAGCCCACAAGCCGGGAGTGTGTGCAACAGCACTCTTCCCATTTGGAGTTCCTTACAACCTGTATTCAGAGCCACACAGCTTCCGGCAGTAGATCTTAGGTGGAGACTGGGCAGCCATCTGTTGGCGGTGCTCTAAATCTGGATTTCCTGCATTTGAGCTAGATGACCTACAAGTTCTCCTTCAGCTCTTTGAAACGAGAGCTGTAAGGCAGGATGGATTTCAACGGTGGAAATACCTATCGATTGTGTCCTTTGTGTGCTTTCTCTGATGTTTTCTGTGTCCTCTTAAGATTTGTTTTGTGTCTCTCTTTCTGGGAAAAATATGCTGTCCTTCATCCCAGTGTTTCTTTTTGTCTCTATCCCACAGCTGGCTGTACTTTTGAAGAAGACGGGGACTTAAACCAGTGTGAGTATAGCCAAGGTGTTGAGGATGACTTTGATTGGCAGCTGACCCGGAGCTACCTCATGCCCCACCTGACATCTGATCTTCCTCACGGTGAGTTGGAACAAGAAAGAGTCTTGTGGCACTTTGTAGACTAAGAAATGCATTTAGCACCAGCTTTCATGAACCATAGTCCATTTGTTCAGTTGACCAACTAAATGTGTATGTGTTAACAACAACAACAACAACAACAACAACAACAACAACAACAACATTACTTATACCCTGCCTATCTGACTGGGTCGCCCCAGCTACTCTGGGCGGCTTTCAACAGAAAATATAAAAAACAATGAAATGTATATACACATACACACCTGAATACCAAGGGAAGAAGAGGGAAAGTATTATTTTACAAAGTAAGGTCAAGGGATTCTCCAATAAGTATGAATAGGTCTATCACAGCAAACAAACACATAGGAAGATGCCTTTTTCTGAGTCAGACTATGTTGTTTTCCAAAATATCTGAAGGGCGAAGGGTGGGGAAGACTGAATCATAACCTGGTTAGAAGGAACAGGTCTTATGCTCTATTCTAATATACATATATAGTTTTTGACAAGCATCTGGAGCAATTTGCTGCTGCATTAAAGTTTGCAGATGATGTAAAGATATGAGAGATTGGTGATGAATAATGAAGAGGACTTGGCAGTCATGTGCAAAGCTCCATGGATTGCTTGGTAAGCTTAGATAGTTCCAACAATACATCCATTAAGGTTTGAAAAACACCAAGGTCATACATCTAGGAATGACAATGCAGGTAATTTCTGGGGTTGGATGGAAACCGTGTCTTAAAAAGCAGAGCTGCTCTGGAAGCGACTTAATGGTCATCAGGATTTGACCTTTACACAGTTGGGTATTTTAACATCACACCAAGCAATTATTCTCCCCAGCTAGCAATTAGTTTCTTCTCTACATGAAATACCTTGTTCTATTCCATAATGGCTGTATTTGGAGAATAACCTTTGTAGTCTTCTGCATAAGGAGCAAAGGATGTTGTCATATATTGTGGCCGGGTCAGATTATTTGTTCATCTAGCCTAACGTGGTCTATTTTTCTTGTCTACATTTTAAGAAGTTTTACAGGGACTTAGACAGAAGTGGGATCTTTAAGTGAATCTGTTCAGCCAGACTTAAGGGATGGACAGGCTTATTTTTGGTGGTGATGCTCCTTTGGTCATATAAGTCCTGACCATTAATTGCAGCATGGACATCTGTAGCTAGTTTTTCAAATGATTTGCAAGGCATCTCTCTATTGAAATTGTACAGTAAAATATGGGAAATGGTCTTCACAGAGAATCTAATCCAACAACCTCACATGAGTAAAGGCCAAAAGAAGAAATATGTATTCACAGCAGACTTAATGCAGCACATAGGTAGACTATGGAACTCACTCCCACAAGAGGCAGTGAACACCACCAACCTAGATGTCTTTAAGAGACAATTAGGCAAATTCATGGAGCTGAGGGCTATTGACGGTGAGTAGCCATGATGGTTATGATCTGCCTCCACAGCTAGAGGTAGTAATGATTCTGAAAACCAGTTGCTGGAAATCAGAGGAGGGGAGAATGTGCTATTGTGCCCAAGTCCTGTTTGCAGGTTTCCCATGTGTATCTGGTTGGCCAGTGTGAGAATGGGATGCTGGACTTGATCGGTTGTTGGGCTGATCTAGCAGGCTTTCCTTATATTCTCAGGTTCTTACAACTGATGAAGTTTCCTAATATATACAGACAAATTCAAAACCCGTGCTGAAAGTCTCGAAGAACTTATGGATTGTGTAATACTGTATTAAATTTGAAAAGTATGTGTGAACTTGACTCTCTTCTCTAATATTGAATAATTACTTGTGTCTCAGTGAGAAACAATCTGCAGTTTATTGTTGCAATGGTTTGTCTTCATTGGTATTTTATTTTCTGACCCTGGCACTGTTGCTTGAATGTTGCTTATTTATTAATAGTCTTTATATGCTGCTTTCATCCCTAACTCCATCCACTTGAATTGGGCCCGAAAGCATACCTGACAACCCAGAACAGCTGACATAAGCTAGACTGAGTTTCTTGCATTGAGTCGAGGGTTGGACTGGATGACCTGTAAGGCACTTTCCTACTCTAAAATTTTGTGCTTCTTATGTGTCTGCTCCCATCTCCCAAGATCTATAAGGAGATGGTGAGCTGCTTTCTGCATTGATTTATCTTCAGGAGTGGTCCCATGTAGAGAGTGTGCTAGCCATCAGTCTTGAGGGTTAACGAAAGCATATATCAGCATAGTGGAATAGCACACTAAATAACACAACGGAAATGTTGAGTACACTGTGCTCACTGCCATTGTCATGTGGATTTGGCACTCACGAGCTATTGTGGGGGAAAGCAAAATGACAGTCCAAAGTAAGCAAATGAGTAATTCTCAGCAAAGGGGCTCCAGTCATTGTGCGATGGATGGTTTCCATAGCTGTAAATCCAGCAGCCTTATACTTTCTCCATTATTTTCGTGAGATAAGACATCTGACCCAAGAAATGGAACCAAGGACAGCCGAGGATGATAAATTGCATCTCCAGTGATATACCTTTATCACTATAGAAGGCTTTTAACCTGCCTTTTATCTGGGGGGTTCAGACCATGCTAAATGTGCCATTTACAGAAACTTCTGCTCATCCATAGCTGCTAAGTGCCTGTCTAGATACAAAGGTTTTGCTTTCACCGAAGAAGCAGTATTAGGCGATACATAAATGACAACAAGTGGGTGATGTCACCAATCTGCATTTACGGAAAGTCCGCATTGCAGAATTTTCTTGCTTCTGATTAGCCATGGGTGGCTTCCCTCCCAAGATTAATTTGGAATTGGCTCAGCCATTAAGAGCATCACTGGAAAACTCTTGCATGGGGGCGGGACACCCACACACGCCCACACAAAACTTTTCTACCACTCTCTAAATGGACTTGCAGTGTTGGCATCTGAGTTGGCATTGTTGGGCAACTGCTGAGGCCTATACCCCTGCAGGGAGCCCAGTGGCAGCCCTCCGGCTCTGCTGCTGCAACCCTTCAGGGTTGCATCGTGTGAACCTGCCCCTCTCCAAGTGAGTGAGCAGCAACAGGGGCAAATAGAAGGAAGAGCAGCAGCAGCCTCTGCTCACCTTGGCCTCTCCTTTTGGATGGTGTCATGTCCTTTGCCTTAGGGTCCCTGTGTTGGCCCGTGGAGCACTCTTGATTCAGATAACAACAACAACAACAACAACAACAACAACTTATTATTTATACCCCACCCATCTGGCTGAGTTTCCCCAGCCACTCTGGGAGGCTCCCAATCAAATGTTAAAAACAATGCAGCATTAAATATTAAAAACTTCCCTAAACAGGACTGCCTTCAGATGTCTTTTAAAAATAGGATAGCTGCTTATTTCCTTGACATCTGATGGGAAGGCGTTCCACAGGGCGGGTGCCACTACCAAGAAGGCCCTCTGTCTGGTTCCCTGTAACCTCACTTCTCGCAATGAGGGAACCACCAAAAGGCCCTCGCCGCTGGGTCTCAGTGTCTGGGTGGAACGATGGGGATGGAGACGCTCCTTCAGGTATACAGGACCGAGGCTGTTTAGAGCTTTAAAGGTCAGCGCCAACACTTTGAATTGTGCTCGGAAATGTACTGGGAGCCAATGCAGATCTCTCAGGACCGGGGTTATATGGTTCCAGCAGCCACTCCCAGTCACCAGTGTAGCTGCTGCATTCTGGCTTAATTACAGTTTCCGGGTCACCCCAGTTGAGAGGGAGTCCCTGGCTGTACCTTCTACACTGTTTTGGCCTAAGGTTGTGACTTTCCTGTCCGTTTGAAGAGGACTTTCCTGTGGGCTTTCTTGTTCCTCAACCACACGGAAGCATGAAACTGCACAATAGCCTACAAACCCTTTAAAGATGGACTGCAGCTCTCCCAAGGGCATGGAACCACTTGAACAGAGCCCCCCTGCCAGCATTCTTAAGCCCTCATATGAGTCTAGTCCCTGATCTAGTCAGTCAGAGATACTGTTTTTGAATTGCTTGAAACCGTCAGAGGGGCCCCGTGCTTGGGCCCTGCTTGTGGGCATCTAATTGCCCCCTGTGAGAATAGGATGCTGGACCAGAGAGGCCATTGGCTTCTTATGTCCCTTTCCTCCCTATTTCAGCCAGCAGGGTTCACTGGGATCTGTCCAAGGTGCTGATTTGCCTTGTCTTGCCTCTGACCCAGAAGAAGCTCTGGTAATGATTACTGCTTCCCATGATGGCGAAAGCCCCAGTCCAGTAAGATAAGTGGCAGTGTGGCTAGGGTACAGAGAGACAGGGTAAGTGAATGGGTATCAGCTGCAGTGATGAGGAGGCAGTGAGGCTATTCAGGGAGGCCTCCTCCAGGCAATCTTTTCCAACTCCCCTTCAAAGCATAATGCCGGCACTGGCAAGGCTGCTTGAACGTTACTTTATTTAATAACAGCCTTGATATGCCACTCAATATCACTGCTCTCTGGGCAGCTTACATTAAAACAGCAATATTCAGAAAACAACCAAAAGAGAATATTAATTGCTGGATTAAAGTAAGAATCAGCCTAGTATTTATTTATTTTTTAGTGGCAGTGTAAAACATCATAGGAAAAGCACCCAGCATCAGTAAAAATATACAGTCCATCTAACATTCAGTGAATCGAGAAGTTCTCACTTTAAAGGTCTGTGAGACTTAAAGCAGATCTTAACCTGTTGCGGAAACAAAGAAGGTGATAAGCGAGTCTCTCCAGAGAGGGCATTCTATAACAGAGGTCCCATCTGAGCCATACATTTAAAGTTACATACCATTTCACACAGTCATGGCAGAATTTTGGGAGCTGTAGTCCAGCAACATCATTATATTCCCATGATATTCTCATGAGGAAGCTGGTAAAATGTGGGTTGAACGAGGTAACTGTTCGGTGGGTTTGTAGATGATTGACTGACCAAACCCAAAGAGTACTCATTAATGGTTCCTCGTCATCCCAGAAAAAAGTGACAAGTGGGTGCTGCAGGGTTCTGTCCTGGGCCTGTTTTTGTTTAACATATTTATAAATGAC